AGTAAACAAACTTCTCTTAAAATTTTCCATATGTTTTTCATGTGAACATTTATGTTTCCTCGGAAACAGGAAACATAGTTGTAAAGGCAGGTCCGGGGTGCCCAACTTCGAATGTACGACAGTAATTCCTTTACAACCAGAGTGAAGAATAAATCCAGAGCTTCCCGCTCGAACAGCTGTATCTAAATATCTCTCAATTTCCCGATCCTGAAATAACCGTATGGAGATACACATCAAATCCCGAATATCTTGCTTGGCTCAATTTCCCGGTCCCGAAATAACTGTTTGGAGATACACATCAGATCTCGAGTATCTTGCTTGGCATGCCACGTGGGTTCCTCATTGGAACCTATAAATACCCCTCAAGGGCCATGTCAAAAAGGTGATTGAAACCTACCCTAAGCTCATTTTTCTTCTGCTCTAAAGGTAGCCTCGATTATTGCTGACTTAAGCATCGAAGTGTCTACCTCGAGGACCCACCTCGGGACTTTACAGGTTCATCCAAAGTGAAAACGTGGACTGAAGAAGGACTTCTGGTTTGGTGCAGTTACATTTGCCTCTTTGGGGGGGGGGGGGGAAGGTTACAGGTCATTAAAGAAGAAGTTGAGAAACTCCTATAAGCTGGCTTTGTCAGGAGGGTCGATTATTGTGAATGGGTTGCCAATCCTGTGCTGGTAAAAAAAGCAAACGGTAAATGGCGGATGTGCATCGATTACACTAACCTCAACGACGCATGTCCAAAAAACTGTTACCCAATGCCAAACATTGACAAGCTGGTTGAGGCAGCTTCTAGAAACGAGAGATTAAGTCTCTTGGATGCATACTCTGGCTACCACCAGGTTTCAATGGCTCCTGAGGATGCAGATAAAACCTCGTTTTATGCTGGCGATGAAATCTATTTCTATGTAATGATGCTCTTCGACTTGAAGAACGCAGGTGCCACTTACCAGAAGATGGTTACCATTGTATTCCGAGCTCAAATAGGCCAGAATCTGGAGATATATGTTGATGATATAGTGGTGAAAAGTTTGAAAGTTGGAGATCACTTAATCGACCTCGAGGAGACGTTTAACAACTTCAGAAAGAACAGGATGAGGGTAAATCAAGCAAGTGTATTTTCGTGGTAGAGTCGGAAAAATTTCTAGGCTTCATGGTGTCTAGAAGGGGGATTGAGGTCAACCTTGAGAAGATCAAAGCAGTAGCCGAGATGGAACCACCAAAGTCAATGAAAGATGTGCAAAGGTTGACGGGGAGAGTAGCAACTCTTCATAGACTCATTTCGAAATCAGCAGATAAATGCTTGTCATTCTTCAAGATCATGAGATTGGCAACTCAGAAGGATGAATCTGGCAAACAAAAGAAGTTTGCATGGAATTCAGAATGTCAAGCTGCATTTGACGAGCTGAAGTCTTATCTTAGCTCACCTCCCTTGCTGACAAAGGCTGATGATGGAGAAATCCTTTACTTGTACCTCGGGATATCAGATGAGGCTATCAGTTTTGTGTTAGTAAGGGAAGAGGGAAAGAAACAGAAACCAGTTTACTACATCAGTAGTGTGTTACATGGAGCTGAAGTCAGATATTCCATTGCTGAGAAAGCAGCATTAGCAGTTGTCACTTCGGCCAGGAAACTGAGACTGTATTTCCAATCACACCCAATCATAGTCCTCACAGACCAGCTGCTCAGACAAATTTTGCAAAAGCCAAAATGTTCGAGGAAATTGATCAAATGGGCAGTTGAATTGGGAGAGTTCGAGATCACATTTCAACAGAGGTCAGCCATCCGAGCTCAGGCTCTCACCGATTTCATAATAGAATGCACCTCGGCTCACTCTGATTCCCAGTCCGAGGTGGACAGTTGGGTTCTGTATGTTGATGGCACATCAAGTAACAAAGGTTCTGGCGCCGGTGCAATACTACTTGGCCCAAATGGGTACCGAAGCAAACACGCTCTAAAATTTAATTTTGATGCCACCAACAATATGGCCGAATACGAAGCCCTGCTACTCAGCCTACAACTGGCGACAGAATTGAAGGTTGAAGCAATACAAATATACAGTGATTCACAGCTAGTAGTCAATAAGGTTAACTCAGTCTGTGAAGTGGTTGATCCTGTTATGATGAAGTATGCAACTCTGGTGGCCGAACTGAAATCCAAATTCCAAAAATTCCATTTAAGCAAAATACCTCGAGCTGAAAATGAGCAAGTAGACTCCCTCTCCAAGTTTGCTTCTGATGGCAACCAAAGCTCCAGATCGGTCTTTATAGAAATTCTGGACGAGCCTAACTTTTTGAAGCCACGAATGATGGAGGTCAACACAAATCCTAGCTCATCGAGCTGGACAGATCCAATTATCTCATATCTACAAGATGGCACAGTACCTGCGGATAAACAGGAAGAGATGAGGTTGAGAAAGAAGGCATCTAGGTACACCCTTGTTAATGATGTCCTCTACAAGAGATATTTCTCACTCCTTCTGCTCCGCTGCCTTACCCCTTACGAGGCTGAATACGCACTTCGGGAGGTGCATGAAGGTGTCTGTGAAAGTCACGTAGGTGCTCGAACTTTGGCCCATAAAGTCCTTAGACAAGGTTATTATTGGCCCAACATATATAAGGATGCCATCCAGTTCGTACAAAGGTGTCAGAAATATCAGTTCTTCGCACATATAATCCACCAGCCTACAGAAGAGCTCACTACTCTGGTAGCACCTTGGCCATTTGCTCAGTGGGGTCTTGACCTTTTAGGTCCATTTATGAAGGGGGTAGAAGGTGTAACCCATCTCATCGTTGGTGTGGATTATTTCACAAAATGGGTTGAAGCTCGGACACTATCCAGTCTTACCTCCAAGAAGGTCGAAGACTTTGTTTTCAGCTTGATTATTTGCAGATATGGGATCCCAAGCTAGATAGTAGCTGACAACGAAACTCAATTCAATTGCTCTTCATTTTGGGATTCTGTTCCAGCTACGGGATCAAACTACAGTTCACCTCAGTTTACCATCTGGAGTCCAACGGCATGGTCGAATCTGTTAACAAATGCATCTTAGAAGGTATAAACCCGAGATTGGAACAGCACAAGGCCAAATGGGCAGACGAGCTCAACAATGTCCTCTAGGCATACAGAACCACGAGCCGAACTGCCACAGGTATTACTTTCGACCTGGTCTATTTGATTAACTTTACATTGTTTTTCTCCTTCTGCTACGACTTTACCTTAGGGCAAATATGCATAACGCGTAAAGCGCATTCTAAAGTTATAATTAATTGAAATAGGTGAAACACCCTACCATCTGGCCTTTAGTATCGAAGCAGTCATTCCTATCGAGATAGGAGTCCCAAGCTTCAGGGTCACCCATTTCGATGAAGGACGAAATGGACAACTGCTTCGGGAGAACCTTGATCTGCTTGATGAAGTCAGAGAAGAAGCACGACTTCGAACTCTAGTCTACAAGCAAAAAATAGCAAATTCCTACAACAAACAAGTTCGACCCCGAACTTTAAAAGTAGGAGACCTTGTTCTTAGCAAAGCTGGTCTAACGGGATACGAAACTCGATTTGAAAAGTTAGCGCCAAACTGGGAAGGTCCCTACACTGTAGCCGAAGTGCCCCACCCAAGTGCTTATGTCTTACAAGACACTGAGGGCAAAAAGTTTCCTAGAGTCTGGAATGCTAATAACTTGAAGAAATTTTACCCTTAATACACTTCTTTCCAGTTAACTTTGTCTTATTGATCACCATTATTCTGATTAATGTATATCGAAACTCAATTCATTTACATCATTAATGAACTTCGCTTCACATTCGAAGTGATTAAGTCCTTTTATTGCAGCTTATTCAGTTACTTCATTTGTTGGGTTATGATTTCATTACACTCACTTCTGAAGTGTTTTGCTTCATCTTTTGTCATTTCTGTATTTGAAGTCCGCCTCATATATGTATATATGCTCGAGGTCCGTTCCTCTGCTATTCATTTTATTGTGGTCGAGGTTAGAACCTTGTGTTCAATAAAGTTACTTTTTCCGAAGTCATTCACTTAAAATAAATCAGCACTTCGAAACTAAAATTGAACACCAAGAATAAAATTCAAAAATTTTATAAAATTTTCAAACATCAATTACAAAAATGTTCTTTACAAAAATAACTACAAAATGAAAACACCTAAACTACTCTGCTAGAGGAAGAGGCTACTCCTTAGCAGGAAGAGGTGGTGGAGGCGACTCATCCCCAGTAGGCAAGGGCGGCACTTCTACTTCAGGAGGACCCAACTGCTGCACTTCGTCAGAAGAGACTTGATGCACCTCGGGAGGCTGCACTTCAGGCAAGTATGCCTGATCCTCAGCTTCAGCTCCTCGCGCTTCTTCTTCTTCTTCTTCTCCTTCCTCCACTGCCACCAGCTCAGCATCAAAGGCTGGAGGGAAGATAGTGCGTCCCTCTGCGTCATGCTCCCACCTCAGCTTGATCAGAGGTCGGAAGTCAGCAAAAAGACTCTCACCATCCTCCTCCACTCCTTCTTCTTGTTCCCCAAAGGTGATCGTTGTCACGTCCACCTCTGGGTACTGGGCCTTCACCTTCTTTCTACAATCGGTGAAGGCCACGATTGCGGTTGGTAGCCCGTACAGCTTAAGGATGTTCTCGAAGGTGCTGGAGTTGAGGAAATTGCCAATGTGCTCCTCCATCCCGTTGTGAACCAGCAGATTCATGTTCTTCTTCAGCTCCGTCGCTCCTTTCCTCATGTTGTCAATATATTTGTCTTGAGGTTTGAGCTTCTCTTCACAGATCTTCCTCTTACATTCTTCAAGGGCAAGCTTCATGCTCAAGACATCATTGTCGTTCTGGAGCTCGGTCACTGAAGGGAGAACTTCATCCAGCCTCCTCTGCATCTCCCCCTTCTCCCTCTCCCAGTCTTCCTTCTCCTTCTGCAGCTCTTCCCTCTCCTTCTATAGCTGCTCACATTGCCTCAGCAAGCTGTCACGATCTCTCACACTCTCCGCGTACTCTTGAGCTAGAGCATTTGTCCAACTTGCACTCTACAAGACAAGCAGAAGTCAGACCTTAAACGTAGAAGTCAAAAAAAAAAAAAAATTAACATACATAGACTGCAACTCCTTTACATACCTCCAGAGCGTGCCTCACAACAGTAGCCCCTAGCTGGCTCACCGCCTCATCCCTTGCCTACCTCTTATCAACCTCAAGAAGGGTAGCGTTGAGGAAGCGCTTCGCCCCAGTAGTGTTTGTTGCTTCGAACAAACTCTTCTGGAACGAAGGTTGGGAGAAAGGCCCCTTGCCTTTGCCAGGACCTCGTACCTCGGCCTCCTCCCTCTCCCAGACTTCAGGATCAATTTCTAGAGGAGAAGGCCGAGGCACAAACTCCACCACCTCATCCCCCCTGGCTTCTGGCTTTGCCACCCCCCTCTTCTTCCTTTGGAGCGGTGCCACCTTCTCGCTCACATCCTCACTACCCCCCATCACAGGCTCTGGCCTTGGCTGCACCTCCAATGCCCGGGCAGAAGTGCTGGACAGCCGCTCCCTCTCTGCCAACCCCTTCTCCGCCGCAGTTGAAGTCTTTAACTTCTTCCTTGGTTTCTTTGGGATGCACAGGCCCCCAGCAGCATTAATGAACTCGTTCATCTCAGCTGCAAAACAAACATCAATGTCAGAACACACCAGTTAAAATCTCATCAAAATTGCACACTATAAGCATACACAAACCTTCGCTCAATGAGCTTGGCCCATAGAGCTCAGCAGCCTCTATTGCCTTCAGGCTGGTGAGGTACAGGATGTCCACTACATCTCCTTCCTCCCTCACCAGCTTTTCTACCTCTTCCACCTCATCCTCATTTAACTTATAGTTGTTCTGCTTGGTTTTCTTAGCTTTCCAAGCAGACAACTGTTCCACTCTGGCATCCCTCCTACTCCACTCGGTGTCATCCACAAAGAAGAATTTTTCTTTCCATCCTTTGATGGATGACAGTCCAATAGAGAATAAACTCCTATTATCTTTGCTGGACGACCGAAGACCAAAGTAATACCACCTCTTCTCCCCCTTACCCCCAGCCTTTATTATGAAAAAGTGTTTGAACATATTTACTGTAGGGACCCCAACCCCCCGAACTCGGCAGTATACAATAAAACCTATGATTACCCTTATGGCATTTGGGGTTAATTAGGTTAATCCTATGCTATAATATAATAACAACCCAACCAGTAATTCTGGAATGGGAAATCTAAGCCCTGCAATTAAATAATGGACGTATATGGGCATCCAATGGTCTCGGGGTGCTGAGCATGCCCTCTCATTCACCCTGGCAGGTCTAAGTAGGACATGGTGAGGAAGGTTGCAGTTACCCACGATGCCCCTAAGACTACCTCTGCTACCCAGTTCAGTCACATATCCCCTCACCTCAGACACTATCTCTAAATCTGGGTCATAGCACCCATCTACGCTACTCCCAGCCTCCAAAATGTTTGAGGGGATCTCATCTTCGTCCTCCTCTACTACCCTTTGCTCCCTCCTCTCCTCCACCGTCCTCTCCGAACTGGTGGGAGATGGACTGCTCTCCGAATCCATGCTCCCGTAATCCAGGGGCATCACCTCACTCCCCACTACACTCATGGTCCATTCTGAAAACATCTCCTCAATTTCTGCATAAAGTAGGAGGAGGAACAGATTCAGGACCCTTAACAATGCTAACACACTCAATACATTCTCACCCTCAACCCTAATTTCCTTCAAAAAAACCCAAAATCAACCACAAAAAGGGAGAAAGGAGAACAGCACTTTGACAGAATCAAAATCAAAAATTCATAAACATTACCTGTTTTTGATCTTAGGAAACTGTTGTTGAAGCCTCAAACACAGCGCAAATCGCACGAACCCGTAGAGATTTTAGCAAGAATTTAAAAGCAAAATCGCGAGAGTAAAAAACCCCCTATTACAAAAGTATAGCCTTTTATACCAAAGGCCAAATACGCCTCAACGGCTGTGATTAAACCCATCTAACGGCTGCAGAAACACCGTTTCGAATTCGACGGTTAATCCCAAACGGCACTGTTTCGAACTTGACGGTTCATTTATTAAATATGCCAGTTAGGCTATTGCAGTAATCTTTTTTACAGCAACATTTATTACGCACGTCATTCAAAGGGCAGCTGTCGCGTCACGTACCGCGTCTAGGTTAGACTTCTTAAACGGACCCACGTAAGCCCATTTCAACACTCTTGCTCACTCTTATCTATTTTAACCCAAGTGTTTTACTTTGGCTCCGGCCACAGTAACCCAGTGTCACACGTTTTACTTTGGCTCCGGCCACAGTGACCCCGTGTCGCACGTTTTACTTCGGCTCCGGCCACAGTGACCCCGTGTCGCACGTTTTACTTCGGCTTTGGCCACAATGACTTAGTGTCACATGTTTTACCTCGGCTCCGGCCAAAATGACCCAGTGTCACACGTTTCGCTTCGGCTCCGGCCACAGTGACCTAGCGTCACATCCTTCACTTCCGCTCCGGCCACAGTGACTCCATGTCACGTGCTTTACTTCGGCCCCGGCCACAGTGACCCAGTGTCACATGCTTTGCTTTGGCTATGACCACCATCACTCCGATCATTACTTTTTATTATGACTCATAACTAAATATTGCCTATGGTCATCCATACATGTAAAGTTACAGATTTTTATCTTTATTTTTACTTCTATAACTCATTTTTAATATTCTTGTCTCTTTTCCTTTCTACTTATGCACTACCCCTATCATCTCCAACCACATCATTCACAAGTGAATGACTTTGGGGGGGGAATAGTGTAAGGGCAGGTCCGAGGTGCCCAACCTCGGATGTACGACAGTAATTCCTTTACAACCAGAGTGAAGAATAAATCCAGAGCTTCCCGCTCGAACAGCTGCACAGCAATTATGATGGACATCCTCGCATCTAAATATCTCTCAATTTGCCAGTCCCGAAATAACCGTATGGAGATAGACATCAGATTCCGAATATCTTGCTTTGCTCAATTTCTCGGTCCCGAAATAACTGTCGGGAGATACACATCAGATCCCGAGTATCTTGCTTGGCATGCCACGTGGGTTCCTCATTGGAACCTATAAATACCCCTCAAGAGCCACGTCAAAAAGGTAATTGAAACCTACCATAAGCTCCTTTTTCTTCTACTTTAAAGGTAGCCCCGATTATTGTTGACTTAAGTATCGGAGTGTCTACCCCGAGGACCCACCTCGAGGCTTTGCAGGTTCGTCCGAAGTGAAGACGTTGACTGAAAAAGGACTTCTGATTTGGTGCAGTTACAACAGTATTTTGGATTGTCGCACCCGACCTTAAAATGGCAATTCATTATAAATTTTTTTAAAAAAATTTACTTTTAATTTTAAATGGTAGGTGGAAGTTTATCTCTCTAAGTTTACATTTGTTAAGCAAGAAAAAAAAAAGAATTGTTTTTAATTGTTAAATTAAAAGATATATAAAAAAAATAATCATTTTTTATTTTTAAATTTTTTTGGTTAAATACCCTTTTTGGTCCCTGTACCGAAAAAATCCCTTTTTTGATCCCTAAATTTTAAAATCCGGCCCCTTTTTAGTCCCTCTGTCAAATTTTGCTCTCGTGGCACGTTAACTTAACTGGAACAGCTGACGTGGGTATGCCAACATGTAAAAAATGCTTACGTGGACTTCTGACACCTGCCACATCACTCACCACGTTACTCTCCCCTCCAATTTTTTTCATTTTCGCGCGTGGGAGAGTGACGTGGCGAGTGACGTGGCAGGTGTCAGAAGTCCACGTAAGCATTTGTTACATGTTGGCATACCCACGTCAGCTGTTCCAATTAAGTTAACGTGCCACGCGAGCAAAATTTGACGGAAGGACTAAAAAGGGGTCGAATTTTAAAATTTAAGGATCAAAAAAGGAATTTTTTCGGTATAGGGACTAAAAAGGAACTTTTTCTTATAGTAGAGGAACTAAAAAAGGTATTTAACTAATTTTTTTTACCAATTTAAAAGTTAAATTTAAATTTTTTACCTTAAAATTTTAAATTTTTATATATTAAATGACTCTATTGAGTTGTAAAGTCAATACTTCAAATCAAAATGAAAACTGCAAACTTTAGGCGGTGATCGTGTGCAGATGTATTACGTATCGTTTAAGGACACGCGAGGTTGCGGAAGTCGGCAGTGGCTTGACAGAGCGCCGACGGCCGCCAGACGCGACTGAGCAAAAGGTTGCAAAATTAATCAATATATGAACTGTCGGATTCAGATGAATGGAGACATGGAATTGAAAATGAAATTGGAAACGTTGTTTGTGTTATATTTACTGGCAAGGGTTGTTTTGGAATTACGAGGCACATTGAAAACGCAACCAACCTGCCGCTAAATGACTTAGGCTTTTTTTGTCTTTTTGGATGACTGCTAATTGAAATGATGCTTAAATTAGTTAGAGTTTGTGTTATATTTAGTTATTTACTGGCAAGGGCTATTTTGGAATTACGAGGCACATTGAAAACCTAGCCACCAGCCACTAAATGAGATAGTTAGGCTTTTTTTTGTCTTTTTGGATGACTGCTCATTGAAATTATGCTTAGGGTTTGTTTCTATCCATTAATAGGATCTTTAGTTACCAACGAGGGGTTGGATCAAGTGGTAAACGACTTGTTCTAACTTAAGTAAGGTCTCGAGTTTGAGATCTTGTGAACGCAGCAGCCCTCGCTGGGAGACTCATCCACCATTTCCAGGTGCGCGACACGGGTCGAGTTCGAATTAGTCGAGGTGAAGCCCTGGATACCAGGCGGGAAACCGAAAAAAAATAAGATTTTTAGTTTTTGGATATTATTTTTATTTCATGAATTTAATTTTTTTTAAAAAATTTATATTTTTAAATTTTTTTAATTTTAAAAAACTTTTAAATAGTAAATATTTAAAAGTTTTAAAT